TAACTTTATATACAATATATTAAATTTGCTATAAAATAGAAATTATTCAGAGCAATAGTTTAGAGAGCACCTATTTGTTAAAATAATATGTACAACTCATATTTATTTAAATTGTATCATATGTGTAAATTATGTTAAATTTGGCTTGTTCAAATATCTTAAATAGAATTTAGAATATTTGAAATTATGTTTATTTAATATTTTAAAACATAAAAATATATAATTATAAATTTTGATAAATGAAACACGGATTAAAAATATTTTTTTGTTACTTTCGAATTAAATAATACTAGTGTTGGCCCCGTACTACGTACTAGAGATATTTGTAAAACTACGATAAAATATACACAAATGTAAGTTGTCAACATTGTTAAACAAAATTAAAATTAGTACATGCATTTAGCTCTTTTTTGGATGTGTAAACAGAATTCGTTGATCAACCTTTTAAAAAAAAATCTCTCTTTTCTTCATTCTTTGAGGTGGAATAATAAGTAGTAGAACCTCTTCACATTCACATAACAATTAACAACCATCAACGCAAAAGATAGTCGTTACCGACAAATCGTTATCCTTCTTCGGTGGCTCCGCCGTCGCTATGCTACACCGGCGAGTTCAATTCCGGTGGTCCTCTCCTCGATCGATCACTCGCTTCTCTCCTTTGCTCTCTTTCATGGCGTCTTCTCCACAATATTTCGATCTATTATTCATGYCCTTTCCCGAGAGAAGAATGAATTCCGTTCAACGACACCGGTTGCGACTMCATCTTGTCATTGGAGTCGGAGATGGTCAGGGTAACGGAAAAAGGAGAGGAGTTTCATGTACTCCATTGTTGAGAACGGGGAGGAAAAGTGTATATGGAGATCGTGGGGAGATCGCAGTTGTTCAGGATTTTTTTGTTTTTTAATCGAATAATAGAAGAATTAGTTTAGAAAAGTGAAAGATGATAATTTGAGACTCAAAAAAGTGAAAAATGATAATTTGAGACTTAAAAACACGTGTTAGAAGGATAGAGAGCAGTTTTAGGAAAAATGACTTGTAAATTATTATATTAGGATTTCTATTACTTTCAAATTTTCTTAAGTTAAAAAAACCTTTCAAATTATGTTTGTTGTTATAAATTTGGGAAGTTGTTTTCGTAAAACATATCAATAAATATTTTAAAATTTTGGTAAGTCTTTATTATTAATTGAGAAAAGAATATATATTCTATAAAAATGTTCTAGAATTTTATTATTATAATAATCAATTTCTAAACTATGTCTAAACTGTTCTAGAATATTTTGTTATTGATTAAAAAATGTGTTGTCACATTATTTTCAAGTCATGTCACATTATTTTGGTGAGAGTAATTGTAGAGATGACATATAAGTATCTTCTCAAAAATCACTTTACAAATAATGTATAAGAGATTGTTCCTTATAGTTCACATATTATCAAATAAATAAAAAAGGATAGCTTCTGAATTATAAGGAAACATTATGATTGATAAAATAGACTTTTAGGTGTAAATAATAAAAATATACAGAGTGTTTTGTGTAAAGAATTTTTAATTATATATGACTTATTTTGAAAATTATTAGATTCAGAAAAAAATGAGACTAATATGGTATATATCATCAAATATAAATTAAATATTAGGAAATATTCTG